TTTCCACGACATTCTAATTTATTGAGATGCACCTGTGTATATATATATATATATATATATATATGCATACAAGCCAAGTCAGAAAGTCAACTTTATTTCTTATTTTACTTTACACAATATATATTGGTTCACTGTAGCTTCACAATAGTATCAAATTCAAATTCTGATGTAAAGCAGCTCTAAGTCAATAGTGTCATTACAGTATACAGCTCAAGTCAGTTCAGTATTGATTCAGTTCAGTTGCATAACTGTGTAAAATTCATCAGTTGTACATAATGTATATACAGTATATATGTGCGAGTGCTATGACAAACTCCTGTGCACTTCACTGCACTCTGAACAAGCAAAAGACACACGAGAGTAGTGTTTTACATTTTTCACATCTATGTGTAGTTTGGCGTGTATATGGCTAATTATTTTATGTTTGTGTGTATAGTTACTACGTAAAAATTTTTTTAGAAGAGTTCAAATAGTTTTGAATGAAGTGTTTGCTTTTGCAAGATGTGTGTGATGTTTTGCATGTTGTGTGTGTGTGTTTTGTGTGTGAGAAATGGAGCCATAGTTTCAAAAACTGTGTAAGTATTTTTAAAAACCTGTATGACATGCCAGATTAGCACATTAGAATGATTTCTGTTGGGTGAGCAGAAACTTAAACAACCTAGTCAAGGGATAGTTCACCCAAAACTGAAAACTGTCATTTACTCACCTTCATGTCATTCCAAACCCATAAGTCTTTTGTTTATCTTTTGTCCCTCCATTGCTTGAAGCCAAAACTTTGATGCTTCAGAAAGTTCATAAGGACTTTGTAAAAGAAATCCATATGAATCAAGCAGTTGTTTGTAAACCAAAGAGGCCTGTTTTCACGCATAAAGTAAGCACATTTGAGCTTTTGTTTACCATATTTGTTGTGCTTTATGAATTTGCATTGATCATTGTTATATGTGAATAACAGCCTAAATTAAATCTGTTCATCATATAAAGTGATCGTGTCTCTAGAAGATGTGGAATAAACCCTTCAATTCAGATCAATTTCTTTAATTACTTATTTATGCTTCTTTATGGATCTTCATAAACTTTTTGAAGCATCAACATTTTGGTTGTGTAGACTTTCAGTGGAGGGACAGAAATATATCAATTAGTGTTTCAAAGATGAATGTCTTATGGGTTTGGAACGACATGAGGGTGATAATTTTTTTCATTTTTTGTGTGAACAAACAATTTAAGGGAGGGAAAACAGTCGACCGGACAGGGACCGGAATTAGCCGATTTTCCACATGATCGGCCTGGACCGGTGACCGGTCATTCTGCCGATTCCGAGCCGGTCTGTTTTGACGTCACAGCTACACTCACATCCGCATGTAAACATGTCGTCGGCGTGGAAGTTCATCACTGTGAGTGAAGAAGACATAAAGTTCGCAATTTGTAATATGTGTAGAGTGAAAGTAAACCATGGGGGAACCACAGGGCTTGATTAACGCTTTTCTGGGACAAGTAGATTTTTTTAAAGGGGCAAGTGAGAGAGAATTTTACTTGCCCGACCGGACAAGAAGCCTGATTAAAACACCAATAACAAGAATAACTAGGGAAGCACTGAAACTCGGCTACCAAAAATGTTTGCGTGAGAATGATTCTGATTTGATTTCTTTCAGTGTAAATGGTGAGTTCTCTCCAAAGGCTAGGACGAGATTTGGATAAATCACTGGAGCAGCACCTTGTTGTGTATGCGAATTATTCTCTTGTTCTTTGTTTCTCAACAGCTTGGTAAACTGGTAATTATCAAAGGCTTCAATAATCTCCTAAATAGGTGGTATTTGTTTTAATGAGGTCAGTGTTTGAGTGTAATGATGTCCACACTGGAGACATTCAAAACATCCTCACCTCCAGCCTACAAGTCTGGAAGCTGCTCTAAACGCACATGGAAAATTAGAGCTGACAGAACAAGTAATTAAGAGTAAAGATAAGCGAGCATGCTCACATGTCTCTCTATTATTCAGTTGTTAATTACGTTGGTGGTATGCTTAGTTAAATGCTTGTCCAGTTAATTCAAAGTTTATGGACTAATAGCATTGCACAACTTGTCTACAAATCTAGTTTCAAACAAAACAACATTTAGACATGAGATCAAGAGGTTTTTAAGATCACAAGAAAGCATTTAGTCATTTTTATCTCATTTCAATAAATTGTATTTTAATTATGATCACGCTTTGTGCTTCTCTCAATTAATTACGAGTTATAGACTGCATTATTGGTCTGCTGGATATTTATCCTGAAAACATTTCTTTCTTTTCTTTTAAATTTGACATTTTCGTTGTGTTAACATGCCAAAATCTGGAGGCTGTTTGTCACTAGCCATTATTGACAATTTTAGCACTTCACCTGCTGCAAAACCAGGAAAAATGCATTAGCTGTCTTCAGAATGTATTAGATTAACAGTTTTCAAGCTATGATTAAGAGCCATGATAAAAAGGTTTTATTGTAGCATTGACCCAAGTTCTCCATTAAATGAAGATCCATAGGGATGGGAAAAAAAAAACTGCAGTGCGGCACAGATTCGTTTCCTCACTCACTCACCCATATAGATTCCCTCTCCGGCACAGAAACTCTGAGGCCAGTGCCAAAATAATAGAGTCCTAAATGAGAGTTTGCTATCTGTAGGACGAATGAGGTGAGTTTAAGATAACAGCAAGGGTGAATTTTATTACAATGGAAGCAGAAAAATAGCTTTTGAAGATGTGTGTGTGTGTGTGTGTGTGTGTGTGTGTGTGTGTGTTGAAGTACGCATGTGTGTGAATATACTGATATGTGCCAGTGTGTTGAACCCCTTAGGTAGTATAACTTTATATTAAAAGAAAGACCTGAACTGTTTTCATGACTTCAGGTAGTAAAACGGATACCTGTTTGACCTTTAAAAAGTAGTACAGAGCTATGAATAAAACTATTTGACATAAAATTCTTCCAATGTCCTGTTCTTTCTGTTTTCTGTCTCTCTGTCTTGTAATAAACATGTCTGTTTTGTATTTCATTTCAAAATTAATAAGGAGAATAAAATTATATTGTGCTTTAAAGATAATGAAAATAAAGCTTGATTTTCATAACCAGTAGGGACATTTACTGAATTAATATGATGCGCAATAACTTATTTAAATTGTACATTACTTATACTTTCTATATTATAGTATAATATGTTGAAATGCTTTGTTTATATTGTATTATAATTTAAATGGTTAAAATAAATATTTTTATTACACTTTCATACATTAAAAATTGCATTCACGAGAATTACCATTGTAAATAATGGGAATTGCAAAAACTTAATATCAATCAATTACGCTGAGACACGAGGGGAGAAATGTTCTATAAAATTTGCTGTGAAAATTTCACAGTGTCAACTTTGTTGATGTTTTCTTTTCATTTTTGGAAGAAATGTGACATTCTTAAATTCACTACTATATCTGCTTGGAAGATCTGATGGTCACATTGATTTTTACATAAGATGAACTTAACTAAAACTCCACAAATGCATCATTAGCTTTTTCTTTAAACTGTTATTAAAGGTCTTTTAGCGAAGGTTATTCAACATTAACCTTCGCAACCTTTCTTGTTTGGGAGCTTATGGGCATGTGTCTGTCATAGCTTGTTTTTAATCTGTTGGTCATTTTTGTATTCTCAGTTCACACTCTGGATAATGAATCACAGTGTTTTATTGATCCTGCTGGTTTCGGCTTTAGAGACTAGACTAGATTTAATTTCTGTTTAATCGACTCTAAAATGAGATATTTACACAGATGACTCAGACTCAGAAGGGAGCTCATTCACCCCATTAATTCTCCTCTAATATTTCTTGCTTCTCTCCTCCTGTATTTAGAATGTTACAATGACATTACAACTGAAGCCTGCCAATTACTAGTACATTTATTAGGTTGACGAGTAAAGCATATGAATTAAGTTAAGTAATAAGTGAAACATGACCAAGCTGTTGAAATTAAATTTACATTAAGCAGATTTTTTTGTTTATTTGGAAATTGGGTTTTTCCTTGCTCACCCTAAAATAAAGATCAGCATCGTCAATTTATGCTTCTGCAAGTGTTTCAGCTAGTTTTATATGCACTATATCTTTGTATTGTACTGACCCAGCTTGGCCTGAATTGAGTTCTGGAATTGAAACTTGTGCTTTTGTATGTGGGTCAGGAGCGCGATGGAATGAGGGCCATATTAGAGTCGTACGACAGCGAGTTGGCCACAAGTGAATACTCCCCTCAGCTCATGTTCCGGGTCAAGGAGGCAGAGGACATGCTGCAGAAAGTCCAGGCACACAATACTGAGATGGAGGTGAGAACTACATTACCCATAATGCACACTAAATCATTCCTTCAAATGTACCTTTCAAAAAACTGTTCAGAATACTGATCCAGTGATTTGTTTTAAAATGTTTTTGTGATATATATGGAATGTATGTGTAGCTGTATATTATTATACGTTGTTGTTTGTGCTCAATTGATTAAATATTTAATTGCATTTTTTTTATTTTAATAACCACATACATTTTTTTTAAGGAAAGAAAATAATAGGCCTTTAGGTGTGATTTATTCGATTCAGCAATTTGTGTGGATGATTCTCTTGCCATAAATGTATGCAACAGCACTCATTACTCATCTCATTGTGTTTCGAAAACTGTGCCAATGCATTGGGAATGCAAACATGGAACAATAAATCTCAAATAATTCAGTTATTAAACACCTTTTTACATTTTTATGAATGTAATCTTACACATTTCTTTAGCTCATTTAATGGAGATGTTGCTTCTGGCCTGGTGTTTGTATTTCTGTGAGTGACAGTGTTTCTCTAATGAGTGATAATTTACTCGTTGAGCTTTAATGATAATTACACTCTTCACATTAAGAATGCAATGCTTTAGTTTTTATCATTCCCTGTCTGGGTTTGATGTATAAATAATTTAATGAATCACATTTGTTAGCGTGTTGACCGTAATATTGGAAGGGGTACATATACCATGTTCATTTATTGCGAAACAATGTGGAAAACATGCCTTGATCTACTTATATTATTACAGTAATCATTTTAAATGTAAGGTGCTTGGCAACAATGAGCAAAATGGTGATACATATTGTGCAATATGTTTTATTTATATTGTCCAGCAGTATTGGCTAATATATATATATATATATATATATATATAGACTGAACAAAATTATAAACGCAACACTTTTGTTTTTTCTCCCATTTTTTATGAGCTGAACTAGATCGCGTCTTTGATCATTCACACTGCGTGATTGTCACTCGTGTGAACGAGCACCGATGTGCCTCCGATTTCGGGCACTTGTCGGCGATTTCGCAAAACCTGTCGGCGAGTGAAAAATCAGGATAAATTCGTGCAGTGTGAACTCGGCATTAGGCTGGCCACAATAAAAGGCCACTCTAAAATGTGCAGTTTTACTGTATCGTTCATTCATTCATTCATTCATTCATTCATTCATTAGCAGAAAGATCAGTCAGAAGCAGTGTTGGGGAAAGTTACTTTTAAAAGTAATGCATTACAATATTGCGTTACTAATTAATGCATATTCATATTTATTTTAGAAATACCGTAACAACATCTGATTTTTCTCAGCATGGGGACAGGAGAGCTGTCAATCAATAAATTGGGAAAAAAAGTAACTTGTGTTACTTATTTGAAAAAGTAACTCAGATATTCTCTTGTAAATTAAAAAGTAATGCGTTACTTTACTAGTTACTTGAAAAAAGTAATCTGATTACGTAACTCGCGTTACTTGTTATGCGTTACTCCCAACACTGGTCAGAAGTTATTACAATTTATACTACGGGGCCGTTGAATGCTTGAATCTGATTGGCTGACGAACGTTCTAAGGTGTGCAATTATTTCAGGGAAATGCACGGCGAACGTAGTTCCAGGCAGGTCTTGACCGTATTACATGTCCATATCACTTCGCCAAATGATTTCAGTTATTTCAAAGGTCCTTACAGCCTAAAACAGCAAAATAAATAAAACCCACAACGACACTGGCCAAGAAAATATAGTAAACAATAATATAAAAACGACTGATTATTTCCATGTTTTTGACACAAATTTGCGTTTTATTATGTATGGAAAGCACACAACGTTACTCTATTTCTGCCGCTCTCTTTTCCTTACAGACTCACACACATACAGTACAGATACTTGCACACACGTTGTTAGTGCTACTCTTAATGATTTTATCAGTAAAATAGTTTAGCAACTTAAAAGCTATATGACATTTCTCACAAGCGAGGTAACAGCGGTGTTGTTCTGGAAGAAAATGAACTTAAAGTTTCACTATTATGAGATACAGTCTTGCTCATGACTGGCCTGTTTGAAAGTTGTATCCGACACTGATAGCACTCATGACTTTGTAATCAAGGACTTTATGGTGTACTATCTTAGTTCTTATTTTTATGGGAACAATCTGTTTCACTCTGATAGACTCAACTGTCTAAAGCCCAGGAGGAGGCAGGCACCTTCAAATTACAAGTTCAGATGGTAAGTCACATTCATCACCATGGGAACTTCCTTTTGGCATTTATACGATTATGTCAGCTACCGTTCTGATCATAAATAATTGATTAAAATTTGTGCTATAATGCATGCAAGAAATTAAAAACCACATTAGGCAGAAGTCAAGATATTAGACAGATACAACATTGCAGCTAGGCTGCAGGTGTTTCCTTTTCTGAGATTCACAGTAAATTACTGTTTTTGACATACAGTGCTGATTTTGTCTTTCATTGTTTTGTTTTTTTATCACTTGCTCAGATGACTGCTGAACTCGAGGCTCTGAAAGAGCAGCAGGTGTCTAATGCTGAGAAAAACACCTTAGCAACAGCAGAGGAAGTCAGCTCTCTCAGGTAACAGAGATATGTGATCAATGAAATTTCATACACGCATCATACACGTCTGATCATTATGAAAGCCTGTTTCCATGTAAAATTAATAAAATAAAATAAAGGCACAGTTACTAGAAATGAAGTCACATTTGTGATTTGATTGTGTGATTTATATGCTTCCATAGATAACCAACACATAATGAACAGTCGCTGCCACTCATGTTGCTGAAAATAGCCAGCTCTCATTGAAATGTTCATGTCATTTTGTAAGACACTGGCATTGTGAACGGGTCTTTAGACTGACTGAAACTGAAGTCTGTGGTTTTTTTCATGGCCTGTAGCATTGCCTGATTACTATGGAAATGTGATTTTACTACATTAGCTTTAGTGGCCTTGCTTGAAAAGTGAGCTTTCATTCAGTGCCTACTTTATCCTTTTTCCTCTTTCTTTTTGATCCTGTAATTATTCTCTGTAGAATTTCATTTAATCTCTCCTGGAACCATTTCACTAAGCTGTTTACACGTTAATTGAATATTTTTTTGTATTGAATACAAGTCCAAGACCCCACATTGTAATCTTCAAAACCAAAACTAAACCAACTTGAATGCTGTCCAGTGCTTTTAAATTACAGAATTATGCAGGATATTCAAGAACAGTTCAAAAAGGTTCCACTAAATATATGAGACCACTAGTGAGTCCTACTATTTATTTTTTTTTATTAATTACAAATTATTTTACAGGCATATAAATTTGAGTGAAAATGTGAATATGAATATTAAATATTAACAATACTTTCTGAATCTCTTAGTATTTGGTATGTCTTTTTGCTTATGATTTGTCACACTTTTATTACACATTTTGAATTCAAAATTTTCAATGTGGTCTTAGAATTTTGAACCACACTTATTTATGGAATGCTTTACTGTGCGATCATAACCTGTTGTGTTTACCTTTATTGACCTTTTCATGGTGGAACAAATAATTGTTATGTTGTGTTCCTCCATTCCTTAATAAAAAACATGAACATTTTTGAGATTTAAGTTTTTGACAGTGGTTTTCATTACATTAGGCAGGGCTGTACGTTAACTTTTTTTGCACATAGCACTGGTGCTACAGAGGTTGAAAGCTTTGTAGCACAGACCAAACAGTTGTAGCACAAGTTAGGGGTAGGCGATATGGCAAAAATATCATATCACCATTTTATTCAGGAATATCATGATTCACGATTCTTTGTCATGTTGGTTTTACTATTTTGCAAGTTGCCTGAGCAGTACAGCCAATCTAATTTCCCTATTGTAAAAAAAATAAAGCCTTTCAAGGTAACAAAATATAAAATAAAAAAGAATGACAGACATTTAGGCCAAAGTGGGCGAAAATAAAAATCTTTGTCATTATTTTATCTTTGTTATTAGAAAATAAGAACAAAAGATATACATTACAAAAACACATAATATGCAAATAAAACAAACAGTGCTTTATTTTTCAGGTACAGTATTAAAATAAAACACTATATACACTATATACATCAATTATAAATTATTTTAAGCAACTGTATTAAAGTTCATCAGTCATGAGCAGTGAGTGATTTTTCTCTGATTTATTTATTTATTTTTTATATTAAAAGGATAGTTTACCCAAAAATGAAAAATCTGTCTGTCAATTCTGTCATAGTGTTTGATTTTTATACCATCATTTACTCACCCTCAAGTTATTTTAAACCTGAATTTGTTTCTTTCTTCTGTTGAACATAAAAATTATTTTGAAGAATGTGGGTAGCCAAACAGTTGCTGGTCCACAGCGACTTCCATGGTATTTTTTTTTTCCTACTATCAAAGTCAATGTGGACCAGCAACTGTTTGGTTACATTCTTCAGAATATCTTCTTTTGTGTAGAGCACAAGAAAGAAATTAATACAGGTTTGGGACAACATGTGAGTGAGTAAATAACAACATACATTTATTTTTTGGGTGCACTACCCTGTAATGACAAACGGCAGTATGTTTAGTACTGTTGCTTTAAGAGCTGCACGCATCCGTTTCTCTCTCAACTGTTTACTTTCATTTTAGACATAACTAACTATCTTTATATGTAAACCTTGTGTGCTTTTGACAGTATTAGACGCGAAATCAATCAGACACGAAAGACAACTTATAAGTTGAGTTAAGTCTTAAACATAAGTCTAGTAATCAGGCGCTGTTTGAAAGTGCGCTTCATGTGTACACACTCAGAAGCACGTCAGAACAGCACGTGAATTAAACTTTTAAGCGGCAAGGCTTAAAGCTTGATGAGCTTAAGCTTAAAGCTTCAGATGCAAATAATGTACTTTTGTGATTGCACATAAGTGCTATGTGCCGTAAGTGTAACTCTACTGCTGAAATAACATTTGATGTGATTGTGAATGTACGTCGCATTGTACAGAATATTGATATGGCATCGCCAGAACTTCAGCTGATAGAATATGCGCTGTAGCACGATACTACGATATTTCTTCAAAAGCAGATCGTGGAGACATTTTAATCGTCCACCATCAAAAATCGTCATATCGCACTCCCCTAAACCAAGTATAATCAATCTCACACACACAAACAAGCACAACAAAAGCACTTCACACTATTAAGCAGCTGTGTTATGAACATGCAAAACTGTATCGCACGTGTGCTACAGTGGTAAATTTATTCAAATTTATTAATTTTTTTCATAGCACTTGCGACATATATGTCGCACTGTACAGCCCTGCATTAGGACAAGAAATTACATTGTACTTGTATATGTGTATGTGTTTGTTTTTCAGGCAGAAGATTGAGGAATTGGAGGCAGAACGTCAGCGGCTGGAAGAGCAAAACAACATTCTGGAGATGAGACTAGAGAGGCATAACCTCCAGGTGACACTTTCATTTAACAACAAATAATAATTAAAATATAAAGATTGATAGTAAAAAAAAAAACGGTAACAAACTAATTGGATATATGTACTCTGTGGCCATCTCTAGTGATAAGAACTTCAGAGAGCCTCTTAAGAATCATGGGTTGTTGTTTCAGGTGCTTTGACAGATTGCCTGTGCTGTGTAACAGCTTCATTGCTTATAAAAGGAGTATTTGTGGGAGTCCATAACCCCATAAGCGGACAGTCACTGAGCTCACGCTAAACTGCTGCGTAAAACTGTGTAGACTTGTGGTGACCGCTTCAGTGATTACCGTATATTAGGATAGGTGCAGTCTCTTATTGTCATGCTGTTCCCTATCTATAATTTATTCATTATTTGAGTAACTTCTGTTTCTCATGCTGTTAAAGGGAAAGTTCACCCCAAAAACGAAAATTGGCATAATTTACTCACCTTCAAGTTGTTCTAAACCTGTATGAATTTCTTTCTTCTGTTGAACATAAAAGAAGATATTTTGAAGAATGTGAGCAACCAAACAGTTGCTGGTAGCATGGAAGTCAATGGCTACCAGCAACTGTTTGGTTATCCACATTCTTCAAAATAACTTCTTTTGTGTTCAACAGAAGAAGGAAGCTCGTAGAGTTTAATGAAGTACTTCAGCAACACCGCTGTGAATATTGATTACAATATTGGGAAAAAATCCACAATTATGATTCATCATAATCATGGGGCTCTAGTCTCTGCTAAACTGAGATAGATGGAGGTATTTTAACATTGGAAAGAATTACACCTTTCACCTTCAAGATTAGCTAGTGGCCTCAGTGGTGGTTGATGATAGCCTGATGGTTAATACTGACCTGCATGATATAAGCTGATGGGTGTGCAATGATTTACCTCATAATTAGACATGCTTTTAGCTTGTCAAAAGTGCATACTAGCAAGTCAACTATTGTAACTTTATGCCCTTTTTTGTAATGTTTTTATGCAAGTGGTACAAAACATGAACATTGCAGTATGATATCAATTTCTTGGCTTAGTGGTCATTATTCATAAATATTTGATGTTTGAATGTTATGATTGGCCAATCAGATTCAAGTATTCCAGAGAGTTGAGTAATAAATAAATGACTTGTGTTTGTATTATAATCATAGCTGATATCATACATATTTTGCTAGTGCTGACACTAAAGGTGTATTGTAAATTTTTACATGATGTTGGTGAGGTAATTTTGTTTTCTTTTTGTAATTCTGGCATAAAAAAACAATGTAATTTGAATAGAATATGAAAGATTGTTTCTTCACAAATCTGTGCTTTTTTCAAAGGTGCAGTTAAATCAGACACCTATGTCCCTTAAACCAACATGGGTTCATTGCTAATTGTTAATTGGCAAATGCCATTTTGGTATGTACTGAAAATGAATGTGCAATAGACTCAGTTTGAGACTAGCTGTGGGTTTGTTTTTATGAATGCACAGCCACACTTGTGTTGCATCTGGTCTCCACAGTAACTCAGGTATGTGTGTTTCTTCTCCAAAGCCTAAATTGGCACTTGACCATATTGTGTTTGCCTGTAAATCTCCACATACTTCAGTCCTCTTCAAATCACTGAAAACCCATCTTTTCCCTTTAGTCAATTACCAACTTGTTCCTGTTTTTTTTTTCTTCTATCAGCTTTCTGTTTCCAGTTTTTAATATGCTTTTAAATATATTGGTTTAATAATAGCACAGTGGTGTTTTTATTTATTTCTGTTAGTCAATAAATAATGTAGAGGCACTTAGAGGAAACTCCGACTATAAGTCCTAGTGTTTAAATATTTATGTTGTTTAGGTATGTGGTTGTGTATTGGTATAATATATTTATATACTAGGGGTGGGGTTATGTCTAAAATCTTTACTGCAATATAAAATAACTTGTACTGTGTTGCAATGGAATATTGTTACTATTCCTTGAAATTATACTGAATTCATGTTTTTAGATAATCCAGAAAATTAAATACTTAATCACATTTGATTTCTTTTATTTTTAATACAAATAGAAATCAAAAGACAAGATTCATTATTTGTATTATTCATAGTCTGAAACATTGCCAAAACGGCTACAAATGTGTAAAATGTGAACAAAAGATATAAAATTAAAACTAATATTATAAAACAGTTTAGGTTTTCTCATGGTAGTTTAATTTATGAAATTCAGTTTCTATATTGGCAAATACCTGAAAATTCCTGCACTTTTGTCACGTTCTATCCACCTTATTCTTCAACACGGAAGTAAGCTGTGTTCTGTGAATGTGCGAGACTTCCCGTTCATTAGCCGCTGTAGGGAAATAATGAGAAGATTAACAACGTGTCATGCAGTAAACTGTAAAACTGTTCGCACTACAAACCAGTGTGTTCACAATTAAGATAATACATAAAAAATAATATGGTAAGACACCAATTTGCAATACAAGCAGCAAAACGAGCTGTTTTGTACAGCTAAAAATAGCTGGACGCGGATGAGACCGGAAAGCAGACCCATAAAAATTACAAATAGCCGTGCCCACTCTTACAGGAAGAATAAGGTGGATAGGGTAAAGGTTTAGTTTTAGTCTATTATTGGCAAAAATATAAGCTTTATAATCAGTGACGTAATGGGTAAATGTAAGGCCACGTAATTTTTCTGTCATTTTTTTTGTGGTGCTGCTATATTTATCAGTGGCCTCCCATCCATTTATCCTTCCTTTTCACTTCCTGACTCGATGCGATCAGTGGGCTGAAATGCAGTCAGACATGCTCCATTAGACCTCAACACTGGTGCCAGCCCAAAACAAACTGAAAAGTCTGGAATTCAAGAGCTGCGTCACTCATTCGTCCTGCTCTCTCAATCACTCAGTCTTCTTAATGTGCTTAGACTTTGGCTCTAATATTTATAGACCTCTTCTCTATCCATTATCTATGACGCTTCAAGTGTCACAGTAAAAATAAGTGACTTCACAGACAGTTAATAATGCCACCCACTCAACACTTATCAGTTTGAAGAGGGTTTATTTTTGGCCCAAGGACTAACCTTTACTGTTTTTCGTGTCTTTTTCTTATTGTTGTCGATGATTCATTCATGATTCAGGCTGTATTACATTTATCTTAAAGGTTAGAGGGATGTACGCATGGACTTGACAGTTGTGCATACATTTAGGGTTGTCACAATACCAGCATTTCAGTAGTTGATACCAGTAGTATTGAAATTTTGCAATCTTTCATGCCAATTTCATAAGTCCATAAATTCAACTTATATATTAATATAAATATTATCAGATTAAAACAATGTAAAGTGTCTCTATATTTATTATTATTGTGTTTTTTTTTTTCTTTGTAGTTTGTCCTGGAGTACAGATTATTTTGGCATGTTTGAGTTTGTTCGTGTTACCCTTCTTCCCCAAGTTATTGTGTAACACTTTAACAGAAGTTTAATTTTCATTTTTAGTAATTCTACTTGTATCTGTTCTTTCATCGCCTTCTGTTCTGCAGTTACGTATGTCTTCTCCTTACCCCTCAGTCTGTCTTCCTCTTCTCTACCTCGGTGTCTTCAGCTCAGGGTGGTGTTATTTGCTCAGTAATGAGATGTTCAGATCAAGGCATTATTCTTTGACGGGGCCCTTAATTCACCAGAAGGCTTGTAAACCCCTGAAGTTTTACACCCAAATGAAGAATCGTTCCAGAAGATGAAGCCTTTTGTTTCAGACAGGGATGAGCTATCACTACTTTGGGCCTTTTGTTTGGAGGGTAATTCGGATAAATTTATTTTTGTTGGGTGAGAGTCTTCAGACAAAATTGGACTTGATTTTCATGATGTTTTGTAGTAGTTCAACAGTGTATGTAATAGCTCAACGAATTAGCTATTGGACCCACTTTAGTAATGTCTCTCACCTAAACTTATTAGGTGAGAGACATATTATTGTTTTTTTTTTTGTTGTTTTTGTAAATGAAATTTTCACTGTCATTGTTTTGAGAGAATGTTTTTTTTTTGTTTGTTTGATTGATGAATTTGGATGCTTATGAAAGCAAAATACAATTCAAAAGCACTGATTTTCAGATTGGATGTCTTAAAAGGATTATAGAAAACAACATGTTGTTTTTCCAAACTTTCATTTAGTCTTTTTCACTTTCAGTGGTAAAAGTTAATTGGAATGGTAATTAGATTTACACTGAAGTGTATTGTCTGCCTTTTTTTCTTTTGGAATAATTAAATCAAAAGTTACAAAATTGTTTTTAAAAATGCAAACTCGGTTTTAGTAAAATGTTTTCTTACTCTCTTAATGCCTTTTTGTCCTAAAGCTCTAATGAGTGTTTTGTCTTTTTGGAGCTGATAAAACCTTTACTTGTTTTTCTGACTCTCTTAACTCTTTGTATTAGGGAGACTATGACCCTGTAAAGACAAAGGTGATCCACCTGCAAATGAACCCCACCAGCATCGCAAAGCAGCAGCACGCTGAAGAAGTGGAACAGCTGAGGTTGGAGTGTCAACTCTTGAGGGACCGAATCCGGAAAATTGAGGCAGGTGGTGGGGTGACAAAAGATGACACTACCCTCATCATCCCACCTTCACAAGAAATACTGGGTAAATATCTTTTTACACAAAGCAGGAGTTTTAACAGTAGGGTAGAGAAACAGCCAATACATGGCATTGTTGATATTTAATGTCCAGTTCATATAAACAGCCCTGCCTCGGGTTTCTGATAAATCATCATCATGTTTTGTGTTCATAAGAAGAAAGAAAGTCATACAAGTTTGGAACAACATAAGGGTTAGTAAATTATTACAAGATTTTATTTTTGGGTGAACTATCCCTTTAAAGAGTATTAGAACAAGTTGGGAACAACAGCACAAAAAGTGTGTATTTAATAACATTGTTTAGAGTAAACTGATAAATGTTCACATTGAGTTCAGGCTTTAATTTCTGTAGCCATATACTTAAAGGGATAGTTCACCCAAAAATGAAAATTCTGTCATTAATTACTCACCCTCATGTCGTTTCAAACCTGTGAGACTGTCGCTCATCTTCGGAACACAAATTAAGATCATCTTCAAGGCCCAGAAAGGTAGTAAGGACATTGTTAAAATAGTCCTTGTGACATCAGTGGTTCGACCATAATTTTATGAAGCTACGAGAATACTTTTTGTGCTCAAAGAAAATAAAAATGACTTTATTCAACAGTTCTTCTCTTCTGTGTCAGTCCCCGCCGCCATTCACGACAGTACAAAGACGCATGCGTGAGCATTCCTCTGCTCGAAAACAAGCATGCGTCTTGGTACTCTTGTGAACGACATGAGGGTGAGTAATTAATGACAGAATTGTCATTTTTTTGGGTTAACTATGCCTTTAAAAGCTACTTAAAATAGTTTAAATAAAGGACTATTCCAGCCAAGAATTTAAATCATTTAAATTTATGTATACGTCCATTTGGAATGTAATGATTGGGATGTAGTTCACCAACAACCAAATGTTTATGCCTAGATAAATTTCAAATGTGAGTTTCATATTTGGGTCCTCATCTGAATTAAATACAACTTGGAGGAATTTGTCATTTTGACAAGTTGATGTGGCTTATCCAGTTGACTAGATTGATAGCAATCTGGATTACCACCTGTGGAGTTGGATATGACAACACAAGGATTGTGGAAAAAGGTTCTTCCTAATTCCACATCCTGTGCTTACAGTGATTTAGACATTTTATTTATAAATATATCCAGGGCTAAATGTTTAATTGGACTCGAGTGGAGTGTGCTGATGATCCATATTTCTTTGGAACTCATTTATTTGCGTCATGCTGTCTCTCTTTCTCTTTCTCCCTCCCTCTCTCCCCGTTTTTTTTGTTGTTTTTTTTCTGGCTATCAGTTTGAATGAGTTCCGAAGGAGGCAAGAGTCTAATTAGGACTCAGACCCATGAGTAAACAAACACCCTGAGGTATGCTTTTAAATTGGCTGCTGCTGCTGCTGTTTTTCTTTATCTTTTTTTTGCTATACACTGTTCCTCCTTCATTTTATGACCTCATTTTCCTCCCATCTCAACTGTTTGATTATAAGTTCATGTGTTTGCACAAATCTAGTTCAAAATTATTATTATTATTATTTTTGTTTTTTGTTGTTTTTTTGTGGCTTATTTGTCTTTACTAATGCTAAGAACAAGTTCTTACAAGTATAAACAGCTTTTTGGGTTGGTATGCAAACGCAGCACTTAAAACTATTTTTTTTTTGCTTGTAATTTACTTGTAATTTATTTATTGATGCATTTTTTTAAAGAAATTAGAAACGATTCAAGTAACGGAAACTGGAAAAGAAAAGTGTTTAATGTGTGCTCATTACTGAGAAGATTGTGTATCCATATTTTCTCTCTGTGTACTGTACTAGCTTCAGGCAACAGGATTGGTTATGCCACCTCTAATATTTTAAACATAGGATATACAGTTGCCCCAAAAAGTATTTGGACACTTAAGCCACACATAAAAATGTATGAATGTCTTTGCATTGCACAGCAAAATATCAGACCAGTGGCATTTATTTTGAAAAAAATATAGGACAATAAAATAATAAACTATGCTGTGTAAAATAAAGACAATGTATTTGTGGTTTTCACTTTGTGGTTTTCAAATGTTAATAAAACATCCTGTTACAAATATCCCTATCCAGACGAAATTTCTTAATTATTCCCCTGGGTTAGATTAAAAAAAATTGCTCCATCATTTTTACCAAGGTTATATGAGGAAAAACACTATTCAATTCGAATGAGATTAAAATCATAAAGTACGTCTGTGAAGCACAAATTAACCTGACCTCCTCAGGAAAAACTCCTGACAGGGCATCATCTCAACACAGTTCATACACCTTCAGTAAAGTTCCTGACATGGTAATTGTAAGTGTACAGATGTAGATGAGGGCCACATACAGCACTTTTTAATTGCAGCTCATTTTAAAGCTGATTGTGTTGAGAGTTTAGCGTGTAATTTCTATCCTGCTCTATATATGGAAAACAAACAAGTGATAACCATTTTAAAAAGCTTCCCGTGGAGGCAAAAAAGGGAGACATTAACATATATAATTAAAAGTGATCCTGATGAATGGTTAAAGGAAAAGGACAACTGAACAAAAGGCCGTCTCTTCTAGTATGCACCACATCAATGCATTGATTTATGTGATAAATGAAACCTTTGTAGTTTAACTGCATTGTTCTAGTGTGCAATTACAGTAGACAGTAGCAGAAGACTTATCTCTCTTTCCTGCAGAACTTTTACTGTTTGTAATCAAATTTTCATGAAGCCCCATGAGGGAATTTAAACTGCTCTTGAGGCCTCTGTACAGAAACCTTATATTGAAGCTATAAGACACAGTTGGCTTTTTGTCTAATTTAAAGGAGCAACTTTGCATTGTTCTGTAATTAAATATTCAAATGAATACTGTGATAAGACCTTGATGGGATTGGTGCCTTTTTTCCTTTTTCTTTTTTGTTTACTGGACTGTAATTTGATTTGACAGAATCAGCTATTAAAGTCATTATATTAGTAGATTGGAAGTGCGTTTTGATGAAGTTGATATACTGCTGTAAATGGTAATAATCTTTGGATGTATGAAACTAAAAGTTGGAGCTAAAAGTGTCCAAACGACTTTTACGGAATAAAATATTGTTTGCCATGAGATTCACCTGCAATTACTGGAGACCAGCATTTTGGTTGTTGAGAAAAGTAACAGTGTCTGATTAATGAACAAATCCTTCTTTTGAGTTGAATCTTTTTCAATGATTCAATTGGGCCATTTGAGAAAAACAGTGAATCAGTTATTCATGAAGCAAACTAATCCACTTTGAGTTCAGCTCACTGGAGAGGAAGATTATCATTTAATAGCGACTTAAATTTTTAGTCTGTTTCTCGCCCAAAGCTGATTTCAAAAGGCATGGTGTATAGTGCACAAATGAATAAAGGATGATAGAACTTTCTTTTAGATGAAGTTGGACTGTTGGGCCTTTCTTTCAATTAAAGACTCTTAAATTAGGTATTTGTACGAATAGTCTAAACTAATTATTTTCCGTTACATATTGTAATCGCATGTGTTCGATTACATGTTAAATTGCTGCTCTTGTTCAGATCATATTATTCATATTATTTGAATGTTCTTCTGGTTATGACTAAATGTAACATATGTGTTCTTCAGACTTGCGTAAGCAGATGGAGAGTGCAGAACTGAAGAACCAGCGCTTGAAGGAAGTGTTCCAGAAGAAGATTCAAGAGTTCCGTACTGCTTGTTACGTACTTACCGGGTACCAGATCGACATCACCGTGGAGAACCAGTACCGGCTCACTTCGGTGTACGCTGAGCATATGGAGGATTCGTTATTGTTTAAGGTAAATTCATATGCAAACGTGTTTGAAACTACATAACCAATAGAGAAATGTGTTTACATGGACACATTGAATCAGGGTATCTTCCGATCATTCGTTTTTTTTATTTAATATTGAAATCTGAAAAATGAAAAACAGCACATATTTAGTTTTTCAGTTGTTCAAACAAAACGAAAAATCAAGAATCCGGCTTCATTTTTCGTTTTTACGTTCAGGGATAAAAAAACGAATAAGCAACTTGAATATTCGATCTCTACATGTGGGCGGGAATGAAACGGCCCTCTCCGCTGATTGGTCAATCAAACATTACAACATAATATTAATGTTGTTAATTTGTTAATCTGGCTGTTTGATGAAGAGAAAGAGATAATATGTAGTAGAAATAAGCACGTTAAGAATCCATAGAAGCGGAGGACTCTTGTTATGTTTTTTTAGGACTATTAAATGTTTGGTTGTCCAATCAGCGGAGAGGTGCGTTTCATTCCCACCCACATGTAGAGATCGAATATTCAAGTAGCTTATTCGTTTTTCTATCCTTGAACGTAAAAATGAAAAATGAATCCAAATTCTTGATTTTTCGTTTTGTTTGAACAAATGAAAAACGAAAAATGTGCAGTTTTTTCATTTTTCAGATTTCAATATTAAATTAAAAGACGAATGATCGGAAGATACCCTGATTACATTGTCATGACGTGCATGGGATAAGTACTTACAAACAAACTTACAAACTTGAAGAATAGTAGAAAGTACAGAAGGAAACTAGGAAAGTACACACAGTAAACTTAAGACTTGAGTGTATCTTTGTTGTAGTTTTACAGTTAGTTTGAATGTGTTGATTTTATGGTCACTTGATTATTTTAGGGTTCTGTCTAAGCCGAGCAGATGTTACAGATAAAACATACCAACACTCAAAGGCTTTTTTGTTCAATTATAAAACAATGACATTAACATCAATGGGATTTTGAATGACTTTGAAGCGCTGCCTTGATAATTTACTATAGGGGTTTTCATAAAAGAAAGATGCGTTGGTTAGAAGAGCCTGAAGCTTCGTACCACAGTTGGTGGTTTGTTGTTCGTCTCACAATACTGAGAAGTGTGAAAATCAAAAGAGGGACTTTAAACCCCAAGGCCGAGGTCAGGCATCTGAAGAACTGCTTTTGTATTTAACCTCATCTGAACCAGCTCAGCAGCTCCTCCAGGTTCAGGTGCATCTGTGTCTCCACAGGTCATCACATCCTCTTCAGTCAGTAACTGCATTTGGTGAGGTGGATGCAGATGACGGTGTTCCTACAATATAGGAATATGGCATTTTTACTTTTAACAGCAGGACGTAGAGAAAAACAATGACCTAGAACAGGGGTGGCAAGTTTGGTCCTAGAGAGCCGCAGTCCTGCAGAGTTCAGCTCCCACCCTAATCAAACACACCTGAACAAGCTGATCAATGTCTTCAGGATTACTAAGGCTATAGGCAGGTGAGTTTTTATTTTCAGGGTTGGCGCTGAAGTCTGCAGGACTGCGGCTCTCTAGGACCGAACTTGCCTACCCCTGACCTAGAATAACTCAATCAAGGAAATTGCCTTGAGTACACTTCTTCTGTTAACAAGTACGCTAGTATGTTGAGTGTCAGCCATAGACTGTATAAAAACATGGACGTAGTGTCCGTGACGTCACCCGTAGATTTCCGAAGAGCATTTTTGAAGCTCAAAAGTGGGCGGAGGCGGCCGTCGCCATCTTGGCAGTGCGTCACCGCGCGTCATTCCCGGATAATCGAAAATGGGCAAAGAGACGGGAGCATGTTTCTGAAGCCACGCT